ATTACTCGCCAAAGTTGTCGCCATAATTCTGGATTTCGTTCGAACGGAGTCAGCAGAACACCATCGCCCTTAAAATACTTTTTATGCGTTTTATGCTGTGTAACAGCGTTACAAACCGTATATTGTCACGGGGTTGTCTGTGTGTGTGTGTGTGTCCCACATTTTGTTCCGCATTTTCAACTATAGGCGGCTGAAATTTTGGTATGGTGTTCCCCGCCAACGGGTGACGCGGCAAATTTAAATTCAGCCCTCCCGTACCCGCGGGCAACACGTACGATCCTGTGAAAGTTTTTTAGGGGTAAATTAATATCTCAGCAACCACGGAGTCTAGGAGGCTGAAATTTTAGGATAATAACCTCCTGTCCACGCTCAACCTTGCCCATTCAAATTCAGCCTTCCCGTACCCGCGGGTAACACGTACGATCCCATGAAATTTTTTTACGGATAAATTGATATCTCAGGAACCATGGAGTCTAGAAGGCTGAAATTTTAGGGTAATGATCTCCTGCCCACGCCCAACCTTGCCTGCTCAGATTCTGCGTTCCCGCGCTCTTGAGTATCACCTACGGCCTCGTGAAAGCTTTGGCGAGTAAACTATTAACTCGGATCACGCACCCTAAGGCTCGTGAAAATTTTGGCGGATAAACTATTAATTCGGGAATCACGGAAAGATATTATCCTTCAAGGTTTCATATTCAGCTTTCATGCGCTGTGCGTGAAATTTTTAACTGTTTTTCAATGTTTGAACTACTTTTGCATAGACTAAAGTACAAAGCAGTGAAAAAAATTAACTCTGGGATCAAGGAAAAATATTCATCCTTCAAGGCTTCGAATTCAGCTTTCATGCGCTAACTATTAACGCGGGAATCACGGAAAGATATTCATCCTTCAAGGTTTCGAATTTAGCTTTCATACGCTGGTGCATGAAATTTTTAACTATTTTCCAATGTTTGAACTATTTTTGCATAGACTAAAGTACAAAGCAGTGAAGATCATTAATGGACAATCGTTCGATGGGCGGAATTGCACAAAATGCATGATCGCACCGGCTAGGCTGGTGCGCGTTGCTATTTATTTGATAAAAATACTTTCTTAAATAAAATTACTTTCCTGATAAAATTACCTTTTCAATAAAATTTTTCTGCGCTTTTATTTAACCTTACTGAAATTTCAGCAAAGGTCAGTGTTATAAGTAGGCCGATCATCACATGCAATAACAACGATCCAAAAAAAAACTACGAAACTGAATATGGCCCTCGACCTTACGTAGTTTCATTGCATCGCTTTCAGTAACGGCAACCAAGTGATTCAGTAAGAAAGAGAAGATTTAAGATCACTTTTTTGCTATAAATTTTCTTATCATTGTGACCCTTAAAAAATGAAATTTTATGTTTAGTTATCGAACTTACAAATATCTTTTGACATTTTTAACAAGTACATAATTTTATCTTTATCCTCAGTATCATTTGCTTTTATCTTTTGACATTTTATCGTTAATATCTTCTAACATTTTTAATAAATATACAATATATAATTTGACATTTTAACAAATATACACATTTAACAAATATACAATGCAGTGTAATAAATATGATTAACCTTGATCCTACTAGCTTTTAAATCAGTCCCACAAAAAAAAAGATAATTGGCCAACGCACGGCTGCCCGTGCGAAGATGCGTTTTTTGCATAATTCCCCGCAGCTTTTGTTGCATCGGTTTTTTTTGGCAAATGTTTCAGCTAAAACAAACTAAGACTGGCCGCCAGAACTGTCAGGAAACATCTTCTAGCTAAACAAATTAAGACTGGCCACCAGAACTGTCAGAAAACATTCCCTTTAAAATTTCAAGTTTCTAGCTGCCCTGGCACCTGAGTTAGCAACTTACTGGAACAAAATTTTCACGGGCCCGTGCCTGTTTACCAAGCATGCCTGAGAGCTGGGTTCGAGCTGAATGAAACTTAGGCGGACGGGGTATATCCTCTTAAAATTGCATTCCTATAGTTTATCAGGTACTTGAGTTATCAATTTACACGAAGAAAATTTTGGGCCCGTATGTGGGTACCACGCTTACCCGGGGGCTGGGTTTGAGTCCACTAATACCCATTTGGGCGGGGAACATTCCCCCAAGACTTGAGCCTCCTAGCTTCTCAGATCCCCTAGTTATGAATTTGCGCGAGAAAAATTTTGGAGGGCCCGTACGCGGGTACCACGCTTACCCGGGGGCTGGATTTGAGCTCACTAATAGCCGCTTGGGCGGGGAACATTACCCCAAGATTTCAGCCTTCTAGCTTCTCCGATCCTCGAGTTATAAACTGACCCCAAAAAAACTTTGGCGGGCCCGTACGCGGGTTT